AAAAAAAAAAAAAAAAAAAAAAAAAAAAAAAAAAAAAAAAAAAAAAAAAAAAAAAAAAAAAAAAAAAAAAAAAACTCCTTTTAAAGTTTAAAAAAAAATTCAAAAATGAACAATAAAAAAAACTGTGATTTTTAATAAACTTGGTGCATGCAAACCTTCTGTGAGTAATGCATCATGAAGTCCTTTGTACAAATCTATCCTGATTTTCTCTTGATTTAGTTTTAGAAAATTAAGATGTGTTTGTTTACGATCATATACATGTCTACAATCCATTGTTGAAAAAGCTGTCCAAATTAATACAAAACAATTTCTTCATCAGGGTGATCAAGGTGAAGTAGATATGCAAAGTAATTTATTACAGTAACATAATTCGTTGATATAGATTCATCTTCTTCATCACCACTATGTTCTTCATTTAATTGCCCTTGCACAAAATCATCATATAAAGGAATTGAAGGGTACCATTCATTTTCTCCTCAAGGAAACATAAGTACATAATGCAGCGATGCATATGTACAATATATTTCAGAAATTCGTTTGAGTTCTCCATCACGTGGCTGTAAAATAATATCATGCTTTTGAGGCTCAACTTCATGTTCACCTCCAATCAAGATAGCTGCAACTTCACTTGCACTCAGAGTATTATATCTTGAAAATTGGTTAATATATTATCAGTTATTACCATCTTTAAGTCCAACAATGGATTATACTTTAATTGTTTACTGGCTTGTCGAAACATTCTAACATATAGATTTATATCATATAATATCTGCTGAAGCTTTGATAATATAGTCGAGTCTATCCCAGGCATTACATTCATTCGATTTTGCAATTCATGATCTATATCATATATATATATTTGGGCAAACTAAGGATCATTGTCTATATGATTAGGAAGTAAAGAGCCTATATTATGATACATTTCACCATGTATTTGAAAAGTATAAATGCCGCAAGTGCCTGTTACAAAAGAATCGATCTTAGCTCCCATTGATATAAAGGCTAAAGTTGAATTGTATTTTCTAATATTTTGACGAAATAATCGTGACTAAGAGTCGGTCCCTGTGAAGAGTGCATCTAATGGAGATGATAATTCTTGAAGAGGTGGAAGAAGAAATTTTCCTTTAGCACAGCAATTAGTAAAATTTGGGAACTTAATAGATGAATTTGATGCCTTTTCATTTAACTACATTTTAGCTCCACAAAAAGAATATTTACGGTCCATTTTACCAAGTATATGACGGTGTAGTTCTAGTGAATTCCAAGGAAAAATACGCACTTTTGGAATTTTAACTAATATTGAAATTGAAGGTATACTTGTAGAAGACTCTAACGCTTTTGTAGAAACATAAGACAATGTAATTGAAGGCATACTTGTAGACAATTATAAAACATTTGTAGAAATGTTTGACAAAGCAGTACCTGAAAATATACTTGTAGATAATTCTGAAGTGGTCGTAATAACACTAAATAAAAAAACATTTGTAATCAAATCCGAAGAAGTTGTGTGAGTGTTGGTAGAAATATTAGCTGTTAAAATAGTTGAAGACAGCTCTGCAGTAGTTATGTTAACACTATTAGAGGCTATAGTGCTTGAAGTAGTCTCTAAAGTTGTTGCGCTTATATGCTTTTTTCTTCTCGATTGTCTAAGCATTTCTAATTGTTTAGATGACAGATTTTCTTTTCATTGTGCTGCAGCCTTTCTTTGTTTTTTCAATTGTGCCTCTCTTTCTTCAACAATCTCATTTTCTCGTCGATGTTTGTCTGCTTCTCTTTTTAATCTTATTCGTCTCTCTTTTTCAGTTTTATTAGCATTATTGGATTGTTGTGCAATTTGCTAGATTTTTAGAAGTTTACTAAGCATTTTGCTGAATTTTTAATTTTTTTTTTAAGTTCGCTACTATTTTAAGAAAGAAAAATGAAGCATACTTTATTATCTATTTAATTGTATTTATATGCATTCACTATTTAGGTCTAAAAAACAAAAAAAAATAGACAATACAGTAATAGTACTTTTCATGTGACTTGAGCGATTAAAGGTATATTATTTAATTATTACAGTTAGTATTACCATATTATGTTGGATAAATATATTAGTCATGATCTGCATCATATGTGCATAATATATACGGTATTTTAAAAATAGTGGTAGTTTAAAAAAGGTCAGCAGTTAAAAAGGTCAGTCGTCCACATTACACACATAAGATTTTAATATATAGATCTATCAATCTGGCTACTAGAGTTGTATCAGAAGAAAAGATCCTATGCTATGAAATTAAAAACCAAGAGAAGTAAAACCAAAAGGCACCTAAAGCTAAAGTACAATAACTAGTGTTGGGCTTTAGACCAAAAGTTTGCTCTACTAGACTTATAAACTGAACTATTAGACTTATAAACTAGACTACTGGACCTATAAGTCCAGTTTTAGTTCAATTTTACTAGACTTATAAGTGAGCCCAATACTGACAACAACTCATTCGGGCTAATTAGTTTAGTAGTTTAAGAGGAATTGATATAAAGACCAGTTAGATATAGGTATCAGGATTGGAACAAACCTTATAAAGGCACTGAATACTGGAATTGTGTAGTTTAATAGTTAGCTCTGACTGCTAGTAGTGGTTTCAGCTGCTGTGGACTATATTCGTTGCCTAATCTGAAAATACATAAGACCAGTATTTAAAATTAGCCTGCACAAGATACATATATGCAGATGTTTTTTTTTTTAGATTTTTTTAGATTTTTAAAATATTTCTTAAGTGTACAGATAAAATTTTTAAAAAAAGTTGCACAAAATACATTTGTGCAAGTAATTTTTTTTTGAATTTTAAATACTGTATAAGATATAGAAAGATTAGGGGTATGTACTACATCTCCTCTAAAGCAACTCAGTATAAGAATCCTACTGGTTATCTATAGAATTAAGTTAAGTAATATAGTATATATCGATCTGAATGGTCTTTAATTGAAGCAGCACAAGGTTATAGATTGGTATAATTGTGGTGATGGTGCAGAACAGGAGACATCAGAGAGTTTAAATAGGTAATCTCCTAGTTAGATTACAGATATGGCATATAGTGTAAAATCTTCAGGTAGACTACTTAAATAGACAATCAAAAGTTGCATATATGGCTACATATACTCTTGTTAACCAAGAATATATTACTAAAATGTCTAATAAAAATTTGCTCTTCTATGACATTGTGAAGATATAAAAAAAAAAAAAAAAAAAAAATTTAACTAGAAGGCCAATTATATAACTCTTTCCAACAATCACTTGTACAAATTTTCTCTACAAATAATCTGTATTTTTGCAAAATTTTATTAAGTAAACAATAGTTAGCTGTCTAAGTAAACTTGTTTTATACAAGATTTTATATATAGCTAGCCTTTTATTGTATTTCTTTAGCTCTTCTACAAAGAAATATAGTATATTTGCTCAAATTTCTATTTATAGTAGCCTATCATATAAGTGTGGACACTTTTTAAAATTTTATATAAAGCTAAATAAACAAGATATTAAGCTAAAAATAAAATTATAAATTCTTTAAATC